TAACGGCGCATGTGCTTGCAATGACTATTTCAAAATTCGAATGTCATGACGCTCGAATGCGCTGGAATGACATACCTATCAAGAAAAAGTTTCATTTAATTATTGAGTGTAGTTGGATAACTAAAGGTTGCACTTCAGCGTAGGCCACAAATGTTTCATGGAGTTTAGGGAAAGCAACCTATACTGGGAGAATTTCGAGGGTGAAACAAAAAAAATTTGCATCAGTAGGGATTGTTGAAATATTGATGTTGGGAATGTTCCTATGAGTGGTGGGAAAATTGCCACACCAATGGGCGAGTGAAAACTGAGTGCCGGAGGGGGTCAAAGTTACCTATAAAACTGCACTATTTATGGCAAAATTATCAGGGTGAACTTATTGTCGTTTTGGGCCCCCATCTGTCAATATATCAAAAAAACCGCACCTCAAAAAGAAATTCGACGAATCGGTCCGTGTTTCCATAAAACAACATCTAAATATTAAATGCTTCCATCCCAACTCACGCCACCTTACTTTATAAACCATTCATTGAGTGTGGAGTTGACAACTGGACGTATTAAATATACCAAAACTTCTAGGCAACATTTCAACTGTAAGTTTTTCATCAGAAAATCCATTCATGACCTGCGTTTCCAAATAATGAGCAAAACTTCAAACTACAACGTCGTACCTGCACTTATTTAAATTTCTAGTTGATTTGTGAGTATACCATTCCCGTTATGTTTGAATCTTCAGAAATGAAACTCTATATGAAGATATAATAAGAATAGAAGAATATGTCATTGTTCTGATAGTTTCTCTGCTATCGGTTGGTCTCATTATAGCTTCTGTTTTGTCAGATATACCTACTCTATACATGAAACAATAATTGAAAATAAGACGATTGCATTGGGATGACCATGTTCGACGATGGATCGCGTGGATTTCAGTCAAAAACGTTTCAACATTTTTACAATTAGCATTGTCATCTGAAAAATAGTATGTTTATTTGATAAATAATTGGCTGAATTTTTCGCAAGGAAGATATGAAATATTGAAAAGGAATATTTTCAGATATATTTATGAACACAAAAAAATCAATATATACATATATGTGAAGAAATACATTCTTTCTCGGTTTATTCAACATAAAACAACTACTTTCCTGGCTACATGCTACGACGAACATTGATTTACATCTATTGAACACACACGATAAGAATTTGAAAACAAAATCTTCTGAAGTAGAGAATTTGCATTCACCTTCATATAAAGATATGCACATAATATCATTCTGAATATTCAACAAAAAACAACTAGTTTCCTGGCTATTTGCCACGTCGAACATTAAATTATATCTGTTGAATATCCAATAAGAGAGCATGAAAAAATCAAAATCCTCTGAAATTGAGAATTGACTTTCTCTCAAATCGATTAGAATAATATGATGTATTATGATATAAAAAAATATAACTTTCCAATATGTTCAGTATTGAAATGAAGATTGAAATGTGGGGTGAAGGGTGATTGACTATGGATTTCACGACTTCAACAGCTGATATCTCGAAAACGAAAAAAGATATTCGAAATTTGGAAAAAGGTACTTGAATGAGATGTCATTTCCTTCTAGAAAATCTGTTCTATGCTTGATTTTTATCATTTTATATACAGGGTTTGTGAAAAAAATTTTTTTTTCAAATGGTATATTATCGCATATTTCGAAAGAGCTCTCTTTCCTGATTTCGAAAATATATACTTTCCATATTTTCTATCGAGGGCTTGACGAAACCTTACCAACGTGAATAGAATACTAACGCTTCTACCACGCGGCACGCGGCTACCTGGCCTCCTGATATACCTCAATTAATATGTGAATCCCACTTTCCCGTAATATTCGATCTCTTGAGAGCAAATAGGATAAATACGCATATCCAACATTTTATTTATTAACAATCATACTATAACAATAACAAAAATATTTCTGCAATTCTGGAATTCGATCAAATCAAATGTTCAAAAACACTTCCATTATTTTCACGACAACAATTCAGACGTTTGATGAATGATGTCTTCAATTTATCAAAAAGCTTCGGGTTTGCATTTAGATCCGCAATTTCATCTGAATTATTGGCTCTCTGCCTATAAACTCTATCTTTTAATGTTCCCCACAGAAAGAAGTCGAGTGGTGTAAGATCTGGGCTTCTTGGTGGCCAGGAAATCGTGCCGCGCCTTCCTATCCACTCATTATAATTTGAATTCAAATATTGAATAATGAGGTTTGTGGAATGGCAAGGTGCACCGTCTTGTTGCCAGATTATCCTTCTAGATATTTCTAGTGGCATTTCGTCTATGAAATCTTGAATTTCATTTTGAAGTATAGGCTCAGGTATCTTCTCTGATCCAAATTCCCATCTATGAAGATTGGTCCCAATATTTTTCCATTATGAATGCCACACCAAACAAGAACAGACGACCGACCTTGTTTCTGTATTGCTTGAAAAGCATGCGGGTTTTCGGATGCCCAATGATGCGAGTTCCGTCTATTGAACATACCACTGGTAGTGATACAAGCCTCGTCTGTCCAAATGATATCGTCAAAATAGCTTTGTCCCACATTCAATCTTGCAGATATGACAAGACAAAATTCAATCCGCTTCTCATTAGCATCATAATTGAGTTTGTAGCATGGTATAATTCTGAAATCCCTATATTTATATTTCTTTAAGGTATGTTGAACAAAATAATAGCTGAAACCGAACTCTCTCAATGCATTTCTTATTGACCGTGAAGGATACTCAACAAAATACTGGATTACAAGAAGTTCCTCCTGTTCGTTGTCTTGCCTTCTCACTATTCTCTTGATATTCGACAAACTGGAAGTTCTGTCAAATTTAGCAGCCAAATACTTTACATAATTCTTACTTGGTAATCTCCTGCCTGGATACCTCCTCATCATATACTTACGAAGTGTTTCAGCAAGATTTTTATTAACTGAAAAATAACACTCCAAAATATCTCTTCTTTGTTCCAGTGGGTATGGCATCTTGAAAAAATTGTCGAAATTTTGCGCACTTATGTCACTGGAATGTTGACCAAATCTCAATTCACTTATTCATCATCTCATTCTATTTCAACCATAGCTAACTTGGACCAAATATTAATATTTAATTTTGCTGATATTTCGTCAAGCCCTCGATAGAATATATGAAAACTATATATTTTCAAAATCAGGAAAGATAGCTCTTTCGAAATATGCGATAATATACAGGGGGTTCCATTTGGAAAATTTTTTTTTTTCACGAACCCTGTATATAAAATGATAAAATCAAGCAGAGAACACAGTTTCTAGAAGAAAATGACATCTCATTCAAGTACCTTCTTCCAAATTTCAAATATCTTTTTTCGTTTTCGAGATATCAGCTGTTGAAGTCGTGAAATCCATAGTCAATCACCCTATATATGGGAGAAATATATTTTTATGAACTCTGATCTTGATGAGTTCGGAACTTCCAAAAAAATCATTCGTATCAGTGATATGGGAATTATATCTCTCACAAACAGGTTATATGACTCCACTCGAGTAAAACTCATTTCGGATATCATATCCTCATTAGTAACCTGAAGTCCAGTTATTCTTCCAGCCATTCTTCATGATATACACAATTTTCATCTCCGTATAATATAACTAAAACTTTAACGAACTGACATCCGAAAATTATAATTTGTTGACAAAACCCCATTCATTTCATTTGGGCATTTGTTTTTGGATGTATGATATATTGATATTCATCATACAGGACGTGGAAAGAAATTCTGAATTGAGAATACCTTATCACGAATCTGCGATTGAGGTCTATAAAAATAACAAGTTTTCATCGTTCAAGTTTGAACCCCTTGATTGGGTAGGAAAAAAAAGATATGAAATGTTCATCAAAGTATAGGCGAAACGGTTCCAACTTCAACCACCTCTATCCAGACATTAGCGCATATTTCCGAATATATTTTATGTTTATTATTCATTGATTTGGGGCCTTCCATCCTCAAAACATAGGGGATCAACACCTATCCCCTCATGGTGTTGGGGGAAAAACACAATAAACCACGTAAACTGGGCGAACAACTTCTTCCCCAAGCTACCCAATTTTATATTGTAATATATTATAGGGGTCTTGGAAACAGCAAGACAATCAGAATTCAGAAAACATCTGTTAACTTTACAACTTACAAGGCATACGTTGCCATGGATATAATATTGAATAATAGGGCATTATTATCCCAGCCACCAGTTAACTGTATACTACACCGACCAATTTCGAGATTATGCTTTCTTCGTCTTCTGGCTTTCTTCTTTGCGAGCTTCACTATATAAAATTACTTATATCAAAGCTATTCAACTCCATATCCAGCTCCTGCGTCAGAGTTCACCGTCCCATCAAGAATTATTTATTAATGTGTTTTAAAGATGATATAATGGAAATACTGCTAGATCTCATAACTAAGAGATCCAGGATGAACAGAGTGGCTCCAATTGTCAGCAGGAGCGAGACAGTACTGTTTCGACCCACCAGGTCTCATCAGCCGTTCTCGGTCTGCTGACAACTGGGACAACTCTACGCTTCGGGTATATCACCCATTTCGAAGACGCAGGGTATAATATGAAGTTCTAGTCATGTTGTAGCCTAGTAGCAAAGCTCTAAGGTAGGATCTCTGGATCCCACCTTAGAGCATGTTATACCCTGCGCCTTCATAATGGAAATGATTTGAACCGTTTTAGGGGTCAAGATAGTCGATATGTAACTAAATATTTATAAATGTATTTGATGTCCAAAGGAAACTTCCATTTTTATGATAGTAAAACCGTTAGGGTCCAACTGGAACAATAATAATACTAATACTAATCACCTAGTATATAGGTAAATAAATATCGAACTTTTCCTGGCGAACTAAACTACGTAGAACATAATATGATGTGTTTGAATCGGGAATCTCGTAGTGATAAGCATCGTAGTGAATCAAATTCGTGATGGAGAATCTGGAAGAAGTTGTAGCCAGGGAGGAAGCCGAGAGACAACAGAGCTTGCGTGACTTGGAGCAGCTCTACGAATGGCTGCAGCAGTTCGAAGATCCACCTCCAGCTCCTAAACCACCTCCGCCGTACCAATTCAGAAATGGTGAGATAATTTAGAAAATGTTCGTCTATTATTGATTAGTCTGATGTTATTGGTTATTGGAGATTATATTTTGCGAAGTTTTGCATGATTCAAGAATTAAAATGTATACATGGATATTCAGTTTTCATCAGCGGAACATCAATTATACATAATACTAATGTATAAGAACAAAGTGTCCTATGATACAGGCAATTTTATTTATGTTAAAGTTTCAGAAATTATCCTGTTTTCTTGATATCTCAATAACACTTGTCCTCACTTTCTTGAAACTCGATATAGGTGTAGTTTTTAGCAATAGAAGACAGCTTCTAGGTTTGCCTTTTTTCCGTCCATTCGGCGCGACGTGGGGTTTTCTCGGTCCGAATTATCCTGAACACATTCCAGAAGATGACATGATCATAATCACAATGGTTCATTTGAATCAATATTTTCCTAATCTCATTTCACATCACTCCAAACTACAAAATACTATACTATAAGATTTTAAATGGAGGCATCGTAGATAGACACAACAAAGATGACCGTTTATAAAAATACAACATCGATAAGTGATTCGTTCTGATGCTACGATGCTTATGACCAAACCTGCTTCAATATTCGATCACACGATGATTACGAATACCGATGAGTCAATTATCCTCTGAACGCGATTTTGATGCAGAAGTAGGTGCTTGGTGACTCCAAAAGTGGGGAGATATAATTTGCTGTTCAAAATTGAAGTATAGGTATGCTGACCGGACATTTCGATTCATATTCGATGATAAAATTATTTGAATGTATAACTAGTTGCTAACAGTAAAATAATTTCAATTCACCCCCTCAGAAGGGATTTTTCAAAATTCTTTGCTGACCGAGCATTTTTTGTTAGAATTTTTGCTTCAAATCACATATTCGAACAACTCACGAGGGGGTAGTAGATTCATAACTATACAAATGTCTAGCCTAACAGCATAGATCTAAATAGATCTATGCTTACAGACAAACCGTTATATAGGAGGTTCACGTGCTCTTGGACTAAAAGTAAACGATGTTTCTGCCAAAACTTATCCAAGACAGCTGCCTAGACACATGCAAAGTCCCAACCGAGGTTCCATCTTGATATTCTCAAAAACCACGTGCGAGACGATTTTTTAAAAAACATTCTTTCTAAAACTTTTCTGAACGGTTGAAGCTAATTGCAGAAAATGAACGGATTTTTAATGTCATAATAAAGCCTAATAAACGAGAAATCGATAAATGTATACGTAAAAATGTACAGGAAATCAATGGAAAAAAAATCCTGAAATTTGCTCCACAAATATGCTACTTTGACCTTGGTCCATTTCGATATCACTAACGTTGAAGGTGCGATCGAGCTTTCCCACGTCAATGACACACCCTGTGCGTACTATTGGATAACCCCTTTAAAATTTCAAATTTTTGGATGGAATCGTGGTTCAGATGATTAGTTACTTCTAAGTATAGTGAAATATTGTCGAGCAGAAAATGAATATAAGAACCATGCAAATTTCAGATAACATCTTCTAGTTTTTGTAAGTAGGAAGCGAAATTCGAGATAGAAATAATGATTTCCTGAGTGTAACAGCTTAACATCTTGATGCGCTGAGAGTATTTGTCTGCTATATCATTCAGAGGAACCCTTTTTCTAAATTTCATATATTTTGCCGTTCTGTTGTGGGGAGTATAAACCCACATGATATAGTTCACTTTTAGTACTATAAAACTAGCTGAAAAATTACTCAAAACCAAACTAAAAAAAAGTTGATCCCGGCGACGAATTGCTCCGTTTACTTCCTTTAACACGTAGTGAAAAATTACATCCCGCTCACTCACTCAACACGAAAATGATCTATATTGGATTATGAGAAAATAGTTATTTTTTTATCTAGAGCGCGAAATGCTACTTTGATGATCTGATAGCCGAGCTAAAAAAATAGTCGAACAGTTACAGAGATATGAAGGGAGAAAAATTGCATCAACTTTTTTTGGATAAAAATGTTTCTTTTAAAAAACATGGCAAATGCTTGGGTTATCGAAATAACTTTTAGAGATAAGGAAATTTTCATCCAAACAAAAGTTGAAAGGAAAAATATCTTGGGGTTGAATATTTCACCCCCTTCCAAGCATACCTCAGGATTGAGAACATTTCAAAATGTGTAGTTTCATTGACGAATAATATCAACCAAATTTCGTGTCTCTTGCTTATTCGGGTATAACTCTTTCAGAAAGAGGTTTATCAAAAAAATGTATACCAAATACCCACCTTTATTTGCATCACAGCATCACCCCTTGAATTTTTTCGGTGTTATTTTGATACACCTTGTATAATTTGTTTGAGATAAATACATACATCATATACATAGTGTATATACCTACATTTCATTTCAAGATTCACGGAGTACTACTAATTGAAAGTTTCTTGCCGTGATTATACATTTGAAAAAATATGATATTTAGAATATTGAATAATCGAATTATTTTCCCCTCCGCATAAATTTTTACAAAAATCGCTACTTTATTTACCATCCTCATAATTTTCAAGATATTGGGCAAAAATCTGCGAAAAAAATAAATTTTCGACTTTCCACATTCTCCCACATAAACCCGACGCTCGGTGGGGTTTACCTTTTTACTACGTGCTAATGGAAAAATTTGACCCAGGAGGCAATCTCTTTTTTTTTTAATGCTTGGGCTTGGTTCTAGTTTCATCGTACTATATTCAATGATAGCATTTTTTCAGATGGAATTAGTGTTTTGAAACTCCATACGTTGCTTTATTTTGCTTGGGATCAAAAAATACATGGCAATTATTTATTGGGCTCGAAGGAGGTTAAAGTAGTGATCTCTATAATTCATTTGTTAGATATAAAACAGATTATTTTTCAAATCCATCAATTTTCCATTATTATTTCATTGTATTTTCATTGTTTTTTGTTTCTCTGGTGTTTAGTCAGGAAGCTGTGGATATAGCTACTCTGAAGCTAGGTTTATTGCTGGGGTTATTACGAGGGTTATCATTTGTCAATGACCTATCCAATTCAAACTAACCAAAAAGTAAATCACACGTTCTATCGCTCGCATCGCCAAAGTCAAAATCGTCCAGCTATATACAGTATGTCCATTTAGTGCGTAATTCTTCGATATCTCGAAAGCCATGACCTATAGAGATAAACTTTGAAGAAAAAACTTTTTCAGTTACCAAAGTTGCTCATTTCGAAATTATTTTCAACATTACTGGGTGTTTTATAAAAGCAGGGCAACTCAAAGAAGAGTTTTTTTAAATGGAACACCCAGTATTGTTCATTCGGAATTAATTCCGCCGAGGTTCACCTTCACATCGCTGTGAAAAAAATTGAAATCGGTTGCGGCGTTGCCAAGTTATAATTGATAAAAATATTTTCACCATTATTGAAGAGTCATGTTGAATTGGGCATGGTATATTCATTTATTCAAATTTTGAAAATATTTCTGGCTTACGGTAGGAGCAAGGTCCCACGTATACCAATCCAGTAATTTTGCGACTTTTTCTTCAACAGGGTACTCAATTTTGCATTTAGAATTTTGAGAAAGATTCAGATGACATTCATCAGAATTTTTCAAATGGAACACCCTGAATTTTTATTCAAAAATTCATTCCGACATTTTTCGCCTTTTTATCGCTAAAAAAAAAATTGGAATCGGTTGCGGCGTTGTCAAGTTATGGTTAATTTCCTTATTTTTAATACTATTTCGGGGTAATTTGTACGTTTTAGTTCTTTCATTTATTTGTATTGTGGAAATATTGCGTTGCTACGGTATAATCAAATTTGTTCATTGACCATTCATATATTTTATTACGAAAGGAACATTTATTGGGTCTGTTTGAATTTTTTTCGAAATATTTGTGTAATGACCTGTCAAACATCGCCACAATCAAATATATCTTGGATTGATTCGACATTTTGCTGAATTCCCTTCCAAAGGCCGCGTAGTAGAAACATAGTGTTTGTATCATTATGTTCACCTTCTTCAAGTTAAATGGAGATTAGGATTGTGGAAATAACGACAATGAAAAGGCTCAAATTTCAAAAAATTGTCCGAATTTTCGCAATCCGCATCTCCATTGTTTGTATTGTAGAAGTTGTAACAAAGACAGGCGATGCTTTTGGCATGTTTATTTGTTTCACATATTATTTGAATCATAAGTAACAAGATTACGGAATATTTCAAATTTGGACGATGCACATATCACAAAAATACCTGAATGATCTATGTAGAACCTCGAATGTCATGTGGCAAGCAATATTCCCACACTCAAATCAAATTGAGGAAAAATCATGACGTACAAATTACCCCGAAATAGTAGTAAAAATAAGGAAATTACTCATAATTTGAAAACGCTGCAACCAATTTTGATTTTTTCTTCTGCGATGAAAACGCGAATTATGTCGAAATAAATCTGTGATGGAAAATACAGGGTGTTCCATTTGAAAAATTCTTATGATCGTCGTCTGAATCTTACAATATTCAGGATGTAAATTTTAGCACCCTGTAGAGGATTATCTCGCAAGATTACTGGATTGGTATACGTGAGACCTAGCTACTACTGTATGCCAAAAATATTTTCGAAATTTCAATAAATAAATATACTATACCCAATTGAACATGACCCTTCAATAGTAGTAAAAATGGGTTTATCAATTATAACTTGGCAACGCCGAGATAAAATTATTTTTTTTTTACAGCGATGTAGAGCTGAACTTAAGCGGAATAAATTTCGAATGAACAATACTGGGTTTTCCATTTGAAATAACTCGTCTTCGAGTTGCCCCGCTTTTATAAAACACCGAGTATTGTTGGAAATATTTTTTAAATGAGCAACTTCAGTAACTGAAAAAGTTTTTTCTCCAAAGTTTTTCTCTTGTGATATTTGATTTCGAGATATCGAAGAATTACGCACTAAATGGACAAACCTCGGGACAAACTGCATATGCGCCTTGATGAATAATGGACTGAGACTGAACATTTTTAAATATATGATGGTCGAATAGAAGAGATACCTCGAATTAGTGGATAAATTTATTATTTGTCAAGGACATATGCAATTCAAATTAACCAAAAAGTACATCACACGTTCTATCTCAAGTCAAAATCGTCCAGCTATAAATGCGCCTTGATGAATAATGGACCGAGACTGAACATTTTTAAATATATGATGGTAAAATGGGAGATACCTCAAATTAGTGGATAAATTTGTCTTTGGCTCGAAGTCCAAACTGCCAGACGTTTATCTATGTATTTATATATAACCTGCTCGATGGTATTTTTAACCAACAAACGCCGTGGATCATTTGTCGCGACGAATGCATGCTAATAACCTCGTTGCATACCTAAAACAATAATTACTGCACGACACGGAATCGAATGTTGACTTTGATTTCGCGTACTCACATATTTTGCGAAGGCAAGGTGATTACCATAAGCACACGTTTGGGATGCGAACGAAACGTGATACACCATTTGAATGTTAAGGCTGGGTAAGGTGAATGCATCAGAATGAATAGAATGCATCAGGGTATTGAAAAGGAATATTCTCTGATAAATTATGAACATGAAAAAATGGATACCTATACCGGGTGTCCCAGTATACCTGTTGCAATGGATTATCTCAGCCATTTCGAAAGTAACAAATTTGAAAATTTCATGATCTCCAATTCGTTCAAGGAACCTTCAACTGAGAAAAACGAATATTGAAAGTCACTTCCGGTTTGACCGGAAGTGACTCTAACTGCTTTATTTCAAATAGAACCCTGTATATTTTTTGCAATTTTTGCTTCCTACTCAAAATTGCCTTTCCAACGATGTATCACTCTTTGTATTTTACATTTGATATGATGAAGAAAACAACAAATTGAAATTTGGAATTAAAATCAGTATCATATCCAATTTCTCTTGAATTGTGAAGTTATCATATCATTTTCACGGTTATTCATTCTTGAATGTCGCACACAACCATTGAGAATTATTAACTACTGTCGAAGATACAAACAAATGTAGGTATTCAAATGTTTCCATGGCACACTAAGGTTTTCATTTAAGAATGATTAATTCTTCCAGTTCTACTACATATTTCTATAATAATTTGAAATTCGACCTCGAATTCGACGTTCTCTTCATCATCTCGAATGCAAAATTGTTCATGAATCATCAATTATTGAGGAACAAATAATTATGTAGACAAAATATCGTAGTCTAGTGCAATTCTTTCGATTTCAATTTTCTCTATCAAATCAATTGTGAAATGCAAAGTGTGATACATTGTTGGCAAGGTAATTTTGAGTAGAAAGCAAAAGTTGCAAAAAATATACAGGGTGCTATTTGAAATGAAGAAATTAGAGTCACTTCCGGTCAAGCCGGAAGTGACTTTCAATTTTCGTTTTTCTCAGTTGAAGGTTCCTTGAACGAATTGGAGATCATGAAATTTTCAAATTCGTTACTTTCGAAATGTTTGAGATATTGGAACAGGTATACTGGGACACCCGGTATATGTGATGAAAGTATCAATCCTTTCTCGGTTTATTCAACAGAAAACAACTACTTTCCTGGCTATATGCCACGACGAACATTGCATTATATCTATCGAACACACAGGATAAAAATTTGAAAACAAAATCTTCCTAAGTTGAGAATTTAAATTCTCCCTCAGATAAAATTATGTATATGCACATAACGAGGCACATAATATCATTCTAAATATTTCACAGAAAACAACTACTTGTCACGTCGAACATATCAACATATCTTTGCCTAATTTACAGTCCCTACTGTAAATTAGTGCTAATCAAAAAAGTTTTAACTTAATTTACACAGTTGATGCAACTGTGAATCAGTGCTAATTTACAGTTGATGCAACTGTGAATTAAGAGTTATGTGAAAAAAATGTGTCTGCCTGATTGACAGTTACGACACTAAATTGATCAAAAATTTGTGGAAGTTCTTACGGTCCAGACGCGTCGCAGATAACTCCCGTTATCATTTTCACGAGTTCTAATGACAAAATGATTTTCTTTCTTCGTCTTTATGACTAAAAATACCTCGAAAAACACTTATTATTTCAATATACATGTAGTAAGGACAAATCAGATGATCTGTCCCAAAATTTCACTGCGGTTGAACTTTCACTATTGGAAACTTAAGAGAAAAATTGAATCGATAGTCAGGACACCTCGTTCGAAGAATATTTGTAGCGAAGAATATTGGTGTAAGTTGAATCTTTGAATGCCTCTTTTCATTTGAATTAAATAATGAATCGAGTCCAGCACTAAGGGTCCTAGTGGAATATAGTGTATTAGAAAAGGTCAGAATGTGAAAATTGTATTTTTTCAAGTTGTTCGACCATTTTTCTGTTACAGCGATATTGCTTCATTTGAATTCATCGCCCTTGTCTTTTCATTATAATACCATAGTCGAGACTTCCAGCTCTCGGCGTTTATTATATCTTCTTGGTTTTGGACATTCATTCCGAAAACAGGAAGATAAACTCAATAAGTGGTGGCCTGATGGGAAGACATAACTAGTCGAGCCTCTACAGAGATTAATCTCACGAAAATTCAGGGACTATAAAGCAAGTGTATGTATTACCGGTGCAATGAGGACGTGTTCCACTGCTGCTATGGAGGTAATTCTAAACCTCACTCCTCTATGATTAGAGAAGTAATCAAAGGCAGGTCAATCTGCCCTATCAACCAGAACAAATGCCGATGAGATAAAGGAGAAGTATAGCTCTGTAAAATAATTCACCATAAAGCTGAAGACTGAGTTGCAAAAAAATGGAACAGTGAATCCATGGGTATTGAGCTCAAAAGGGCCATAAAGGAGTCTATGGACTTCGTACAAAACACTTCAGAAGCCTTGGCAGATTCCCTAGCTCATTCCAGGAGGAATGTCCGACAAATAAAGCAGCCATCAAAGCGCAACGCTCTATAGTTATCAGCTCTAAAATGGTTAGGAAATAAGGCTGAAGGCTAAGCTACAAAAAAATGGAACAGTGAATCCATGGGTATCGAGCTCAAAAGAGCCATAAATTAGGATAGGCGTCTATGGCTTCGTACCAAAGACTTGAAAAGCCTTGGCAGATTCCCAAGCCTATTTCCAGGTGGAGTGTCCGACAATAAAGCAGTCATCAAAGCGCTACGCTTTATGGTTATCAACTCTAAAATGGTTTGAAAATAAGGCTTAAGGCCAAGCTGCAAAAAAATGGAACAGTGTCCATGGATATTGGGCTCATAAGATCCATAAATTGAGATAGGAGTATATGGGTTTCGCACCAAATACTTGAGAAGCCTTGGCATATTCACAAGTCTATTCCAGGAGAATTTTCGACAATGAAGCAGCCATCAGAGCGCTGCGCTAAATGGTTATCAGGTCTGAAATGTTTAGGTTATAAGGCTGAAGGCTAAGCTGCAAAAATAATGGAACAGTGAATCCATGGGTATTGACTCAAAAGAGCCATAAATTGGGATAGGCGTCTATGGGCTCCGTAAAAAATACTTGAAAAGCCCTGGCAGATTCCCAAGTCTCTTTCAGAAGGAATGCCCGATGATAAAACAGCCATCAAAGCACTACGCTCTACGGTTATCAGCTCAAAACTGGTTTGGAAATAAGGCTGAAGGCTGAGCTGCAAAAAATGGAACAGTGAATCCATGGGCATTGGGCTGAAAAGAGCAATAAAGTGGGATAGGAGTCTATGGGCTCCATACCAAATACTTAAAAAGCCTTGGCAGATTCCCAAGTCTATTTCAGGAGGAATGTCCGACAATAAAGCAGCCATCAAAGCGCTACGCTCTATGGTTATCAGCTCTAAAGTGGTTTGGAAATACCGGGAAAACTGAACCGGCGGGCGTAATTTCGGCCGGAAAGTACCTTGGCTACCTGCCCAAAGCAGAGGGCCCATCTAATGACATAAGTAATTTCGGCCGAGGAAATTTCGGCCGAGGGTACATGTTATGATTATGGGAAATATTGGTTTATGGGTTTACCTTATTATTAAAGATATCCTTCCACATATTATTTATTACCCACTTAAATAGCTATATAATATATTAGGCCGAGTTAGGTCGGATTGTTTGGAAAAAGTAGTCCCCTTTCTCTTTTTACCTGATCCGTTAGGCCGAAAATGCTTATAAGATAAGAACAAACCCTTAAACCTCTGGCCTCTGTGTGACCTTACAGTACCCAGTAGCAAGAAACCTGAAATCACATATTATAGAGGAGAAGGAGCTATCCAATACCTGGAACCACGTCATATTCTGAAATATTTGAGAATTATAGGACCATAGAGAAATTGCTATAGATCTTCTGGGTTGCAGTGTATTTACATCTCATCATACAATACAATACAATACAATCCAATCTTCAATAAGCACCATTGCAATTTTCTGAAGCTCTCCCATTTAAAATTCTGACCACACTGTATACTCAACCTAAATACTTTCCTGACTTCTATCTTGACCACCTTGTACAAAATAATAAAAATGTAAGTGTACCGTTGCACAAAACAATAACGATAAATCTTTCCGTGGTGGTTCTTATTTAAGTATAGCGTTTGCATTCGAATTCGCATAATTGAAAATCATAAATCGTTTCTATGACTATGAGATACATTATTACTGTTCGGAAATTACCCAATGAATAAAACATGGCCATAAAAGTGAGAAAATAAAATCTTTTATCGTCAGCTGATGTTACTTCCCGAAATTGAGAATTCCGTCGATGTAATTGTTTATTTTCATAATCAAAACGAAATACTTTATACAAAGCTCTTCAGTGTTCGAATAAAACATGTATGTTGGTATCATCTGTTTTGAAGGCTGTTCCAATTTTTTTGCAATATTCAAACCTCCAAATATTTTATTCATAGTCATAGAAGTAGTGCCGTATCGATTTCAAATAGATAGGGAATCTACATGACTATATTTTGAGATGAAGATTTTGAGTATACCAGTATATATATCTGACTGTCACAATCGAAATCACTACAAACGTAGTTATTTTGAATGGATCACCCACTATATTCGTCCAAATTCTGATTCAACTGACAATAATTCTATCTAGTTTCTCAATGTGGAGTTGATATATGAATTGATGAAAAACTCCAAGTCATCTTCACAATCATGGAACAATGGCATATAAAATAGGAAATAGTGATAAATGAACAAAATATTTGTCATACAAAAATGAGTCGATGTATAACAGAAAATGCATAAATAGTAGATTGTTTTATTAGGATCAAAAGTAACACTTTTGATCCGAATGAAACATGCTATTTTTTCTGCAACCGAAACAATTAACTCAAATAAACATGTGGAGTAACCACCATAGCCGTGCCATATGTATGCAGTGCAACAAATATTGACAAATTTAATAATCCATGTGGTGAAAATATTCTACCTGCATTAACAGCAGTTTAGGTTTTCTAGGATGTTCGAATTGTAGTTTCAATATAAATACAACCACAGAGTGACATATTTGTGTATGGACCAGGTGCTCTAATGGCAAATACCGCGCCAGTGCCAGCTATATAGGAACAAGACGTGGAAAATGTTAGGGGTTAATGAGCATATCAACAATGATAATAGTGATTATTTATTCCTCTCCATACTACACTGTGTTTGACTTGATAATCAAATGAAGCTAAACAATATCGTTGTTTGAGACAAAAAACTATTGCTTGCCGTGATTATTCAAAAATAAGTTATCCATCCCGAGAATAACGAATGAAATACAGATCAAGCAAGTATTTGAATCTTGAAGGCTTCCCTGATCAAAACAAAAATACTCAACTGAGATATAATTCCAATACTAAACTATAATAAGGTGTTATTATATCTCCAGCATGGGTATGAAATGCCAAATCTGCTGAAATCGGAATCAAATCAGGTATGCGTCTCAACCCAAATAACCAACCGTCACAATGTTGTTTATTCTTGATGACGTCCAGTTGATCCTTTTTAGTTCCTAGGAGCTAAATATGTTGCCTAGCAACATCTAGCAACATACCTATTTTTGTGACAGTAATAGAAACGTCAATTTAAGAGCTAATTTTGGTATCAAAATGGACGACTTTTGTGTCGGTTGCAGAAAAAATAATGAAACAGCTGAGAAATCTTCATGACTAGAAGATAGGTGTCTTTTTGTTTCATTTTTGAGAATATCCTCACGAGAGACAAGAATATTGATATATTGAGATTCATCATGATATTCGATGTTTTTTTATCTCTTCGAGATCTGGGTGGTCCACTAACAGTTTCGAGAGTAAACCGATATCGAGAAATTATTTTCACTGGCTTGCAAACTTGCTCGATGGTCGCCCAGAGTTCGAATTTTCAGAATCGTGCTTGGGCGACGGTACAATTCTCATAACCTAGACTCATCGAGATTTTTCATCTTATTGAAGTGGATTCTTGAATTCATGCTGTCGGATATACCGATCATCACTTGTATTCGATGGAGAATCAATGAAAATACTTAAGTAACAGCGTTTAACAAATATTCAAACATATATACCTGGCATTAAAAAAACTGCATAGGAATAAAGTACAGAAAAAATATTGTTTGCATAGAAATTATCTGAGAGAAATTGACTTCCAGTTGATATGTGGTTCCTAAAGTGATCAGTTTTAATTTCCAAAGCTACTTGCTGGAATCGCACTTTTCGAAAAATCAAGCCAGTTCCATTTTAGTTGCTATGTGTTAGGACGTTCTATAAATCGATGAGTGGAAAACGCTATTAATTTGGCTCCAACTGAAAATTCCCTATTGGATATGGGGTCAATGTACTATAATGTTTTGATAGAAAATATTCTGGCTGTGATGCCAAGTTTTGTTTCTGAGATTATTTTTATTTCTCACTCTACAATCATGCCTAATATCGTATGCAAATATAACTCAGTTGACATTTAATCAATCTGTGAATTCTGAGGATTCACTTACATTATTAATAATTGAATATTTATTTCATCATAGTGAAATATACCGGGTGTTTCATTAGGATATTTCATTTGCATCATATTAATGAGGTATCATTCTTTACTAATTTCTAATTCCTCATGAAATTGAACAATCATTATTCTATCATAATGGTATAATATGTAATTGTCTTGAATTCTTGCATTAATTCTGCATAAGGGGTGAATATACACTGCCAACTAAGAAATCTATACAATACATGTCTTCTTTCTCTTAAGACTTCAAATAATGAAGACATTTTAATGCCGCCGATCAGAATATGTTTAAAAAATAATAAACTTCGAGATCATCCATTCTTTGTAACGTTGAAAAAATATTTGGATATCTCACATTTACATAGAAACATCAAACGCTATAAATACAATTTTAAAAATTGCTTTTGCCATTTCTATAATAATCAATATCGAAAAGGATTGGTAATTTTGATACCAATACAGCTCATGTTCTTGCTAATGAAATGCACCCACTTGAATCAGAGGTCATAAAATGCTAATGAGTTGGACGCTTGGGTAGATCGAAATTGTGCTTAAACAAAATATACCAACATAATGCGAGTTATTTGGGCAGCAGTGTACATACATCAGGTTGTTTAGAGGGCAATGTACTGCTAGAATCCCTATAAAGTCATTTCTACCACTCTTTAATTAGCTTGGTAAGTATGTTTGTATGTTTGCATGTAACGGAATCTTCGAACGTGATTTTGAACCACTTCAAAATATCGAATTGAATTCAAACTTCGCACATTTATCAATGACCTATGACAATAAGTTTAATAGTTATGTTCTATTATCCTGATCAGGATCTTTTGGATGAATAATTTTTACATGCAGAGACAGGGCAGTGTCTTACACTAAGTCAAGGTACTCGTTTATGGTTTGAAAATAATTACATCCCGAGGTACATCCAGAGAAACGTTAGTGTCTTGCACCAAGTACTCGTATGGAATAGAGTTTCTGGAGAGGAACCTTGATAAACCAATATTGAAGGAAGGCATCAGGCTCGCAAATTACCCACTTTCACTGCGAGGCTGTAGTCACAAAAAATAAAAATAAAACTAAAGACTAAGAAAAAAACACGCTTTCAAAGATATCCAAACCAAAAAATGAAACGGAAGTAAAATAATAGGTTTGTTGATAAATATACTTTAGGAAATATTTGCTCCTCCGTAATACGTATTTGCTATATTTTTATCAACACAC